GGAAAACCCCATTCAAAAAGCTGTGGACCAAGGAAATATGCTGTGTGCTCTGAGCAGCATGAACAGCCACAGCCTGCTTTGACTCTTTCTGTATAATGCTGGAACTGAGAATGACATTTCAGGTTTCTGGTGAAATGCGGATGATTGCAGACTGGAGCCTGGTCTCAGCTCCTCGTTCATGATCAGGTACTACAGCAATACAGTAGTAATAAATGTCTTGTGACTGCTTCTCTCTGCCTTTCTTCATTTTACCTACTCTTTTATTTCCTCTACCCTTTCTAGTAGTCCCTTTCACCCTACTTCTGCTGTACTAAATGAGTGTGATCTAACAAACCTATAGAAGTTAACAACACATTTCACCCCTTTTTTTCTAAACTTATTCTAACTTCAAAGTTGTCCTAGATTTGAGTGGAGGGGGTGGACCATGTGACTTCCCAAACTCCATTGCAAACTAAATTATTCCGATTCTAATGTGTTAGGGTTTCAAACCAAGTTTTGACTTATCTAGGAAATGACTATGTAATGGAGGTCAGGATCCATACCCTCATTTCACACAGGCGCTCACCCCTTTGGAAGCCATACGTAAAGCTCAGGTCACTGCTCCAGTTACACTGTGTCAGGAAAGACAGAGAAGTTGAAAACCAAAGCCAGGAAATGTTTCAAGCGGAAAAGGATCAGGTTTAGTAAGTCATATTTGCTTGGTCTCAGCTGATATCAGAGTAATTTTGAAGCAGTTGTTATCACTGGACCAGCCAGCAATATTGGTTGAACTTACCCTGACACTCTCAGCACGGCTTTCGAAGGCTGCCCTGGCACCTCGCAGCTGTAACCATGGTCCATGCTCTTGCTGTACCTCTGTGCTTATCTCATACTGCCTTTCTCTGGGTTCTTCTGTTCTCCCGTTTTTTGCCTACATCCTCCATAAAACCAATCTGAGATCCTGGATTGTAGTAGGTGCTGCATTCACAGTTGCATGTCCTGTATTAAGCCAGTCCATGTACAGAGGGTATCACATGTGGTTCTGCCTCTGCCATTTCCCTGACCATGGTGCAGCCATCACAGTGGGGTAGAGGACGATGCGATGTGTTTGGCTCTTCTCTTCAGTTTGCTGTCATGTCATTGATTTTTTTTTCAATAGGCTTAGCTGCCCCTGCAGTATTCAAATCTCAGAGCACAAAGCACAAACTTAATTCCTACAGGACTATGGAGGAGAGTTGTTGAATCATATTTAGGGCAGGAAAAGGCCTGGATGATGTCTCTCCCTTCACTTCTGTAAGCCACTAGTGTATCTCATTTGCAGCATATCCATCAGCATCTGTTGCTCCAGTTTTAGTGATGAGGTGCTCCGTCTTAGCTATTAATATGCCGAAGTTCTTAGAGGGATATAATTTGCTTCCCATGCTTTCTTCGTGTATTGCACAGCTTTGTGTCACCATCCCTGCTGCTCTGAGCTCAGCAGATGGATCTTTGTAAGCAGGTGGTATTTATTCTTGCTCTTGGAAGAAATATATTTATAGCTCATTCTGGCATCCATAAAAAAAAAAGGCAAACTTAAGAGATATATTAAAAATATAAATAAAATGCCTCTAAGACTTATTGCCAAATTGAGATTGGACCAAAGGCACCTATTCAAGTGATCAGGAGCCAGAAATGAAGTGTACAAGCCAAGAGTATTGAAAGAACCATTAAGAATGTTAAAAAAATAAAAGAGGCAGATAAATCTCATACTGTGATGAATGATAGTCAGGGAACATCTAATCATATCTGGGTAGCATTCACTGAAATAACTCGAGCAGACAAAAACGAAGAACATGAAAAAGATGGTGTAAAAATTATTGGAATGTTCTTTTTTTCTGACACTTTTTCATTAATCTTCAGGAAGGAATAAGGATTTACTTAAACCAAATTAAATTAAGTAGTGAGCACCAGTGTACGGTTCCTCTTGAGCTTTTGAGCTTGATATGGCTGTAAAAACACATTTTCAGGAACTGCATATTAAGGGAGACTGACTTTTTTTTTCAGTTTTCCAACCACCTCTCCCTAATAACCTAACACTCAAAACAGTGGATATGTTGAAGGGGAAAATTGTTCACCACTGTAAGAAGAGGAAAAAAAAAGACATATCTACAGAATGAACATACGAAATACAGCTATTTGTCAATAGCTTGTCTACAAGATTTCATTCGTTGATATAGCTGTCTGGATCTTTGCTTTTAATAGCAAACTGCCTAGAACTTTTGGGGCATGCTTGAGAGTGATATGGAGAGAGTGGCCCAGTGTGCATATGGCAAACTGTCTTAAGAAAAGGTTGCTTATCAACAGATTGGACCAGAGCCTGACTTTGTTACTATACGAACACAGATTTTATGTGATATCATCTCAGGAAATGCTCATCTTTTTTTCTTGGTTTATTTAAGGAGTAATAGCCTGCTTCATTTTTGTTCAAACTCTAATGCTGTCATCAGAGTTTTGCCAGGATAACCTATAGATCTAAAAAATAAATGCAACATGCACTTTAATCCAAATGCACTGGGTAGTCAGTCAACAGTATAGATGTTTTCAGACTTGAGGGTTAGGTGTGTGCTTAAGGATTAGGAAGCAGGTAGCTTGAAACCCAGGGTTGGATTAAATGAAGCTTGGTTTTAGGACTTGAAATTTCAGTTCAAGCTGGGATAAGTATTTAAACTCTATATTCTGGTCCAGGCATATCATATGTGATGTGAACGTGCCTTAAAATCATAAAGCTGGCCATTCAGTGGACAAGAAGTCATTTATTCTGAACAGATGTTTGTTAATGATTGATACACCTCTCTCTGCTTGAGGCCTAAATGCAGTTCATGGATGTGCTATTACTGATCCTGCAGGCACTTGCACGCTCTAATCATGTTCCTTTAGGGTTTTATGCACATACCTTATTGGGCTGCTGCACAGATGCATCTTGTTGATATAAATGATTTCTAACCCTTCATAAACTACTCTGGATATAGTAGTGGCAGATGTGCACAGCTGCACAGCCCCTCTCCTTATAAGCTGATAGCAATTTGTGCTCTGAAAGTCTGTGAATGCCTCGTGCTCTGCAAAACCTTTGCTTTGTGGACAGCTCCACTTCCTACCCACCTTTTGGCAGTTTAAAGCAAGAGCAAAGAAACAAATGCCTTTTTTCTTTTTTTTTCTTTCAGATTTCAGAAAGAATGATCCAGAAACTGAACCAAAATTTGGTCCATTTTGACCTTAAGCCAGGGGTTCGAATCCTTGTCCATGCTGCTCATTTAACAGCAGGTCAGTATCCTGAGTGCATCCTCTCTGTTCGCCTGCAGTGCCATCAGCAGCACAGACCTTGATGGTAGCATTAGCTATTAGCCATTAGCTATTAGCCATTAGCTAGCAGGGGCACTCTAAGCACTTCTTGTTCCCATGACACAGTAACAACTCTGTGTAGGGACCTATACCTCTGTGTAGGTGGCCACTCCACCTCACTTTTCTTTGTCATGCTAAAAAGTATAGTGGCATTTACATTTAGTCCTTTTGTTTGCTTGATGCGGGAAGATCTGGCTGTTCTTGTTGGAAATGTGACATGAGTAGCAGGGGAAGTGTGTGGTATTCTTGGCTGTCTCTGAAATATTAAACAGCTAGGCAGCACTGTGACATATTCAGCCTGGATCATACATAGGGTGCAAAGGTTATTGGTTAGTACTGGATTCTGAGGTCACTAAAAATCCAGAGAAACTGCATAATTCAGAAGTTGTTTAGCAGTCTAAAAGAACACACAAACACACATGCACACAATTTTGTGCAAACACTCATGCCTAGGCTGTTTGGCCTTTAACTAAACCTGTCTCCAAATGAACAATCTGCAATGTCCTCTCTCTCTATTTGGTATTGTTAAACCTTCTTTTCATGGTACAGGCCCTGTTTAACTCTTGCAGGAGAAGGAACAGCCATATGCATGATCAGGATTCTTGCGAATTCATTTATCCTGTAGGTGCTAATAATGCTGATCAACTGGTCTCACCTTCTTTTGCTAATGCACAAAACAGCTTCAGTTTGCTGCGCGTAAAAAGCTTTTTGTAGTATGAACAGGTATGCTCGTGTTGGTGTCAGCCCATGCTGACCTGTCTATAGAGGAAAGGAAGAAGGGATTGCTATGAAAGAATGGAGTATAACTGCATTTAACTAAGGCTAAAAGAAAGCCTTGGTGTTTGTGGGATTTCATATTTCCTAAACAGAATATCTGCCTAGGAATATTGCTGTATGCTTCTACTTTTCATTAAATAAAACAGACAATCATATGCTTTTAGATATGTTCGGACCAAAAGCACATAAAAGCAGAGGTACGGTATAGCTGGTTAATCTCTAAAGAAAAGAAAAAAAAGTTTGGGGCAAATTTAAGCTTGCCTTAGTGTTTTTCTTTTGTAGATTGTATAAAATTAATGATAAGCAGGTATTGCATCATAATTTCATGACTTTGCATTTAAGATTTGAATTCATATGTATTTTACATAAATGTTCTCATCTATGAAACAATCTTTGGCTTTGGTTTTCAAAAATGACCCCTTATTTAGTACGTTGAAGGAATTTCATTTTTCAGAAAACGCTTCATGGCTGTCTCAGGGAAGGAGGCTATTTGATACAGATTAATTTGAGCTTCAATTGTGGAGTTACCTGAAATTGCTCATTGCTTTTGAAATTTGTTTCTGTGTATTTACTGTGCTCACGGTTGTTTTGCCTTTTGAGTAGTTTATTAAAGTAAAGGTCAAATCCTGAAAGAGTATTTGGAACTGATTTCTCTGGCCCTGGAGATTTTGTAGGCTTCTTCTAATAAACTATAGCTAGGAAAAATCTCATTGGATCTAATGGGGGGAAAGGTTCATCTTTATCTCTTTCTACTTGAAGGGACATTCCTGGTTTTATGTAGTGGAAAGAGATGATGGTTAAATCTCCAGCCCTGCCTTTAATGCAGGATCCAGGCGTCGTTCTACGTGCAGGACAGAAACCTCTGCAGAAGAACTCTGGGCACGAGGCTGAGGGAGAGACGGGAGCTCCCAGCCGCTCAGCCCATGCTCTGTTATGGATAAAAGCCGGTTAGCTCCAGTCCCACAGCCAGATATTTAGCAGAGATGCTACAGCATTTTTCCTGGGCTACTAAACCTTGTGTTCTGCACTGTGTGAGCTGAAAGCCAGGACTTGTGTGACATGTCACCATGCTGAAGGACTATCTGGCTTCTGGGCTCCTACTGGCCTGCTTCTTGCTAGCTCACACTGGAGCAGAGGATGCTCAGCTCAGACACACTGTACAAAGATACTGTCTTTCTGCCTATTTAGGCAGAAATTATTTTTCTGCCTATTATTTGTATTTCCTGACACACCAGGAATGACTGCTTTCTGTCTGTAGAAGATACAAACAGTCATTTGTCCTGCAAGGTAGACTGTTGTTCTCTTCTAAGCTGCTGGAGGGACGTGAGTGATTACTATAACCAGTGTCTATAGGAACACTGCAGGATTTTGTCTCATGCAGAAATATGTGTAAGAATGCAAAATGACCCTAGGCTGCCAAGCTAGATATTTAAAAAGTCCAGGCAGCAGCTAGTGTGAAGTCTTGAGGGGGTATTGTTCCTTACAAAGCTGCAGAGGGCATGACTCAATTTCTTGTATATAGGGCCCTGAAAGGCCCTATTTCATGACATCAGAGTTTGGGAATAGTTTAGAATTTGACTAAATGCCAAAAGAGAGATTTAGTTTGCTGCTGAATGCTATTGTTTGGGTTGTCAAGGAAGAAAAAGGATTCTCCATTTGAATTCCAGTCCCTTAAATTTTCTAAAAAGTGCGGGGAAGGCTGGAAGTGGTACACACAAGCCAGCACCAGAAGCAGTCCCTAAATCCAGATGATTTAGCAGGGACACTGCTCCCCAGTCTGCAGCATCCCTTCTGCTCTCAGCCTCTTCATGTCAGCTCCGTGTTAAGCTCAGCACATATGTGTTTGTGTCTGGGCGCACACATATATACATAGGCCTATGAGTGTGTTCCTGTGGCTCAATGCATGTGTATTTTCCTCCCTGTTTATGTGCCAGGTCAGGCACAGTGGAAAGTTCTGCAGCAGGAGAGCCCCACGGAACAGGAGTGTCGGTTGTCTAAAGTGACCTGGTGTGGGTATTAGGCAGAACTACAGCAATGAGCCAGGCTTTGTGAGCGGGTTGTACGTGACCATGTGCACTTTCCTTGCAATACAGGACAATGGCAGTTAGTGAACTCAGCACATTTCACACCTCTGTCATTTTTGTTCTGGCCACACTGGAGAAGGAAAAAAAAAAATAGTAGCAATTGTGGACAATACATTGCAATCCATTCTTCGTGTTTATTTCCTCTTCTCAGAAAACAAACAATGTCCCCAGCCCCGCAAACAATAATCCCAACTCTGTGGCCTAATAAAATATGTTGATATTCCTTGAAAAATAGTTAAAGACCTGCTTATTACCAGACTCTTAGCACAGCGTTATAACAAGAACATTGAGTGAAGCTGAGCCTGGAACAGTCAGAGAGTTGCTTTGCCATTACACACAACCAGAAATATCCACAAAAAAAAAATGGATGCAAAGGACCCAGAGCAGAGACATGTGAAGAATTCATAATAATCACTCATTTCTCCCCTATTCCTTAGCTTCCTGAGGGTAGACTGCTTGATGGGTGTAGAAGGAGTTTTTTTTCACTTCTCTCTGCAAACTTTATCAGACTTGGTGGGACTGCTCAGGGAAAGTGTGTGCATGTGTGGTATGTCCATGAGTGCACGTGTAAGCGTGTGCTTGTGTTGTGCATGTTTTCTGTGTTTGCTGGCTATGTTTTAGAGAGGTTTGTTCAGTGCATGTGTACAAGGCCAAGAGGGAGAGGAGGCACGTGTGGCACCGGTTCAGTTGAACTGAACCGTCTTGCAAACCTATGGTTTGCTCTGTGGGTATCACCAGATAAAGACAACCAGCAAGGACGTCTACAGAATGTTCTAGTAGTGTCTGTATGATTGTGTCTCTCCATGCACTGCAGAGATTGTTGGATCTCTGTATGTCCCTCTGTGGATGCTGAATATCTGCACATATGAGTGACGGAGATTGTATTTAATATAATTTACTTACTAATTCTGGGAACACCATAGCCTCCAGGGTTATGAGAGATGAGATTTTTTTTTTTTTTTTTTTTTTTTTTGCAAGGAGCTATGAGAAGGAGCTTCACAAATCTCTGTGAGCAGTACAGGGAGAATTTCTTTGTTTGTTAGATTAGTCTGTCTTTTTTAATATAACCCTGTGCTCTTCCTTCCATCAAAACATGTGGGAGACAGGACAACAGAGAAGAGAAAGAGGAGGTTTGTATTCAAAAGAGTGAGAAAATAAGTGAAGAAGAAACTGCAAATGTGGGAGGTGTTGAGAAGTGATTGCCTTGATAAGGCATGGATGCTGAGGCAGTGTCTGAGGTGGGAGCTGGGCTTCTCCTAGGAAGGAAGAGGACTGAGCAGAGGGGTCCAGGATACTCCAAAAAGTCCAATTCTGATACCCAAGTGATCTCACTTGCAACTACTTTAGGTAACTACCTGCAACATGAGAGCGTGTTTGAGATATTTCTCTCATACCTGGCCAGATCTCTAGAAAGCAAGCTATGAGTTTTCACATCAAGCAGTGAAGGATCACAAGTGATGTCAGTCCAGGCTTCTCCTCACTTGGATTAGGGCAGGAGAAGAGTCAGGGAGATGAGTCGACAGGTCTTTTATAAATGTCGAAGGAGAAAATGTGCTGGTTTTGGAGAAAGTGCCTTTCACTCGAGGCAGGGAGGTGGCTCTAACGTTCTCCCCATCTCTTGCAGCTCCCCTGGTGGACCTCACTCCTCAGCTATGCTGATGCTCCTGTCCGTGGTTTTTGTGGGACTAGCTGTGTTTGTAATTTACAAGTTCAAAAGGTATGACCCTTTCTGGGCCATTTCCCTCTCCACATTTTCATCTTTCACTGAGCTGCCTGGGTTTTGTGTTGTTGGATTTTCTTTTTCTCGGTGATTCGTTTCTTGGTTTGTGAAAGGCTAATGCTACATCATCTGCCAGAGTACCCCACAATGATGGTTTCTGTTAATGTTTTAGGAAGATTCCTGGCCTTAATATATATGCACAGATGCAGAATGAAAAAGATCAAGAGATGGTCAGTCCAGTCAGTCAGAGGGAAAGCATACCTAATGTCCCTCAAAGTGAGCTGATGAGCCCTGAGCAACTAGTAGAGGAGAAGTTGGATATCCAGCCCATAGGTAAATAACTTGCAGCATCCTGCAGCTGGTCAGCCTATGACTTATAACTGGCTAACCCTTTTCTAAACCTCCCCCTTCCTCATCTCCCTGCTCACTCCTCTCCAGTCTTCTTCTGCTGCAGTGTTAGTTTTGCTACAGGAAACCTTGCTAACTCTCCCCTCTCCCTCACTGCTATGTGATGACAGGGAGAAAAACAACTTTAGTCTTTTCCCCTTTCCTAGTTGCTCTGTGTAGATCCCCTCCTCTTCTCAAAAACGCTATACTCCTGCTTCACTTAATTTGCGCTATGAGAGGATTTAATTTATTGTGCTGGGGCTGGTGTAACCGTGTGGTTAAACCCCACACCTGAGTCCTGTCCAGGAGACCCTTCACCACCCTCACCTGGAACATGGAGGTGAGCAGGTGATTCGGTAAGTCAGATCTACGAGCTGAATATTGTTTGATGCTTTCACTGTGCTCTGCCAAACCCTGCTGCCCACAGCAAGGCTAGCCTGGCTGATTCTCAGGGAAGCAAAGCAGACCTGGGGATCTCTGCACTAGACAGCTGGGTTTGCCCGCGGGCTGATTTCTTCCACCGGCCTCTGTGGAAATTTGTAAGGCAGGAGCCTTGCAGGAGCTAGAGTGAACAGGCTTGGAGCAAGCACCCTGGATCTGTTGTACTTTTGTTCATGCTTGTATGATTGTTGTTATCCTCACTACAGTAGCACCAGGGTTGTTGAAGTGGAACAGGGACATGTCTGTCTGGGGACATGTGCTAGTAAAGCCAGATTGCTCTGGCTTTGCTCAGCTCCACTTTTGAGGTGACAGTTCTGCAGACCCCAAGCAGAGGAGCAGCACCTTCCTGCAAAGAAATTTAGGTTTATAACTGTTTTGGCTTAGGCACAAACAAGGCTTTGTCTTAACTGAGATGTCTTAGCTGTACAGCTTCATCTCATCTGAGAATGTCCCTAAATTGTAAGATTCCTTCCTGAAGCAGGCTTGGTGCGTAGTAGCTACTGCAGAGAAGGAATAAGGGGAAGGGTGATTAAACAAGGGAATGTGATATGATAAACTTGCAAAACAACCTGGGAAAAAAAAAAAAAAAAAAGGTCTCTTGAAACTCATGTCCAAGTTGGAAGCATTTCCCCACTGCCATCTGTGCTGCTCTCTCCTTACCTGCTCACCAAGGAGAGACCAGGTAGCTATTAAAAGGTTTTTAGCAAGTATTCATCAGTACACAGGGTTGCACAACCCTGCTTAGAAACAGAGGATGGAGTGAGGGGTCCAACCTTCCCATGTGGTGTTCCCCATACAGAGCAACCCCAGGCCACAGTCCAGAGCCCAAGGAAAGGAAATGCAACCAAGGTAGTCTGGACAGAGGACTTCCAAAAGGCTTGTGGATCACCAAGAGGTTTCAAGCAAAGACCCGGAGCGGTGGGTCCTAAATTTTAAACTTTAAAAATTCTTTTTTTGTTGTTGTTTTATTTTTTTTTTATTCCCCAGAAGTCTCCAAGGCAAAATTAATGCAAGATACTAAGGGAGAAACACCCAGTTTCAGGCCTTAAAAGGCATTTTCCCAGAATTAGATGGGCTTTGAGCTTCCCAAGGAGTAGAATGATCACAGTTCAGACTGACCAAAAGGATGTGGAAAGGGCATTGTAACTGGTCACATAGATTGAGGTGACAACAGTTGGTCACCTGCTAGGCCCACTCAGGGTAGCTTCGGAACAGCTCTCACTAGTGCCGGGAACTAGTTAGACCCCTTGAAACCTGTAGATGTAAATGGTCTGTTTTTGTGGAGAGGCTGACTCCTCTCCACAGCTATTCTGACTTTATGCAGTAACCATTATTTTGTGGGTTTCTCAGCTCTACCCTGTCCAGCAGGACACTGTATTGAACGAGAAATTGATTTTTAATATTTTCCTTAGTTTACCTCTGTAACTGCACTAGCAAGCTCAAAAGGTGAATATGTAGATAGACTCAGTTCACAATTACGAGGAATCAGTCCAACAAATCCCCTAAGAGTGTTTCCCCACCGTAGTAGTAAGAAAAATGAGGAAACTGAATTGACAAAATGAAAAGGTCTGAACCTAGGTGTGAGGAGATCAGAAAAATGCTAGGGCTGCTCAAACTCCTGTGCAACTACCTCATCTGTTTCTGAAGTCAGCAATCTCTTTTTTTAATGAATTTTGTTTCCTGAGGAAAAACAAAGACTGTAATTGGGTGTTTCTCTTTTGTATGCTTGTTCAAAAGCCAGGTTTCTCACCCCTTTGACTAACATTCAGGGACCCTTGGAATCTAAATGAAGGTTGCTGAATGATTTTGTTTTCTCTCCAAACCCTGGCAGCACAAAACACAATTTCAGTATTCTGGATGTGAACAGTTCAGGTCCTTCTTTTGCAACGGCAAAGCTTAAGGTGATTTGTGAAATCTCTGGTACTTTATCATGGCAAATGAGTTGCACATTTCCTCTGAGGAGCTCATCCCCTCCTTCCTTTCACCCCTCTGCTCTGGCGTCTCCCCGCGCTGTTCAACACGGGTGAATCAGCTTCATTAGCAAAAGAACAGGACATCACCTTCTGTGTTTTGAATATCAAGAAAACATTTCTGGGAAGAACGTGTCATTCTGGAACAGTTGAATCCCAAAGGCCAGCGGGGTGATACCTCCAAGCGTCTCCTTCCCTCCTTCCCAGGCTAAACACATTTGCTATTTACTGACTCTCTTATTTTATTCTTTTTTTTTTTTTTCTGCCACAGGAAGTATTTCCACAGCTGCTGAGCCCCAGAGCACAAAAGAAATCCCTACCTATGTAAATGGTTGAATTGAGGACACCAGTATATATGTATATCTTAAAAAAAAAAAAAAAAAAAAAAAAAAGAGAGAGAGAGCGCTCACTGCATTTGGACTTTTTAATTCTTCAGATGACAAAGGGTTTTTAGCTTTAAGCCTGTGCATGTGGACATTATCCCAGACCATAGTGGAACTGCATTGTACAGGTGTTCAATTTTAGTGGGAGCTGGGAGGGGGGAAACGATACCACTACTCACCCCTGTGGCTCTTGCCCTCACCCCTCCACTTCTCTTTTTTCTTATCTGTCTCTAATTTGTAGGAAATTCATAATTGATATAGGCCAAGAATATGCATGGGGGTGTCTTCTTTACAGAGAGGGTGGGCTGGGATTTTGGGGAGGATCAGGGGAGTCGAGAGGGGGTTATAGACTTAACTGCTCTTTTAGCACTTTGGGCTGGGGGAGGACTAGCCGCCCCAGCAGACTTTCATAGCAAATCACACTGGAGTTTAAAGGCACTGAAAATATCCCTGGGCCAGTTTGGTTTATGTCTTTGGTTCGACTCTGCCCTTCCTTCCTCAAGCTGCAGCTGCCGCTCCCAGGCCGCGCGGAGGCCAAGGGGGCCCACGGGCCATCCCGGCCCTAGGCAGCCTCCTAGGTCCTGAGCAGGTACCCCCTGGTAGCCCTGGTAGCTCCCCGGCAGGTCCCCCCTGGTAGCACTGCTCAGGTGAGCCCTTCTGCTCCCGACCTTGGGCTCAATGAGCAGCGTGCACCACAGGCCGGGAGCTCTGTCTGCGCTGAGCCCTGAGGAGGTTATTGCCAGCATGAACTTACACTGCACTTCGTACCAGCCTCACACCTTGCGTTTTGACTAAGGGAAAGCCCTAGCCACATCCTCAGTGGCTTTTAGTGCTGATGTTTGGATTTGTCTGGGGAAATTCTGAGAGATCTCTGCCCTTTGGGAGTCACCTCAAGGCCTGTTTGTTTCTGCAGGACGTCTAGGCCACAGAATAGGGAGCAAGGAAAAATTTACATATGCTTTCTTGGCAAACCCCCTTGGTCACAGACATGGAACTACTGCCGTTCTGGGTAGAGAAGGGGAGAATAAAGCAGGAGTTGTGCTGAGCCTGCCCGTGTGCCCGCCGAGCCGCCCGCCACAGGACTGTCCTGTACGAGGCTTGGTTTCTTATCGCTCACGTACCCTTGCGTTTTACACTGCACGTGCGTGTAGACGGTGTGGGGCAGGAGGCAGCCTCACCATAACTTGGGGTATCGGCTGAATCCGAACCACGGGTCTTTCACAGGTCTTGAGGTCCAACCCTACTCAGGTAAACGGAGCATGAGGATTTAGGCCTGAGGTGCAAGGAGATAAAGATAGTAACTGAAATGCATTCACTAAGCTGCATGGAGCACAGGCAAGTAGAGCCTGGTTTCTGATGAGCGTAGCACGCACAGGAAGGCTGTCCGATTCTCCATGCACAGGTGTTTTGGTCGAAAGTTTTTGCATGTGGTAGCCTGAGCCAAAGGCAGGAGACAACGGCATTGTTGGGACAGCCTGAAATCCCAAGGGGAAAGGGAAAGTTTTGTGTTTCTCTCCCATAAATTGGAGATGGAGCCTGACCAACCTCACTGGTGGCAAAGAAAAAGAAGTGATACTGAATTCAAGGACATTAGGCCTGTGGTTGAACGGACAACCACACAACAGTCCTCTCCCTTTTCTGTGGGCTCTCTGGAGGCAGGTAGAAGTGTAGCAATTCATATGGCTTTGCTATTGTGTTTGCAACTACAGCTTTATGAAAGATGGGAAAGTTTCTGGTAGCAACTGTATAATACTCCCCACAGAAGTCCAACATTAGCCAACTTATTTTTATAGTAAGTCAATCAAAAAGTTTTCTTATAGTGTTGGAACTATTTCTAATTTTAAAATTACTTTTTTTGATGTACTTTTTCATCTTATTTTTCCCCTTCGTTAAAGACAACGTAGTGTAATGTATAATTGCTATTGTTTATTGCTTTTACAGTCATATTTATTAAACAGATTATGTCTCTAAATGAAGGCTCGTGTTTTTGTTGCTCATTTTAGTTCTATGTCCCTGACTGGGATCACTGAAGATATTAACATGGTTGGAAGAGAATACACTCAAAGAGAAAGGGATATTCAGCAGCATGGGAGTGGAAAGGGTGGTAATGATGCGATTCTGAGAAAGTACGCTGCTTGGAATGGCGAGACTGATATGCAGAAGTGAAATACTGGTTTTAGGGCGTCCGAAGAGGCCAACATGAGCATCTCCTGGCACATGCTGTACCCGTTCCCTACCCATGTTTACCCTTCTGCACACATTTTCACACATGCCATTAAAGATTCGTTTTAAAAAATGACATTTTGAGTAGGAGGAATTCAAACCATCTTGCCAACATTGATGAAGAAAGGTTTGAATTATTCTTGTTACGGATTAACCAAGTTTTACATGTGAAGAAAATGAAGCCTGGGAAGGTCCAGTCATTTTGCCAGGTGTCAAATAGATACAAACTTCTAGAAAAAAAAATCTAGTTTTTTACTTTTCAAGCCAGGATGTAACCAGCAGATCATTCTGCCTTTTAAACCTGGCTTCTAATTTAGTCCTGCAGCCTTTTTCTACCTCTGCCATATATTTACATGTGCACATAAATAGGCAAAGATTTGGGGTTCAGGCTCTACTGATAATACATAAATTACATGTAAAGTCCAGAGATGGGATGATTCCTTATTGGACGAGTGTGGCTTCCCCATCTTGGATAAATTCCAGCCCTAAATCTTAGAAGAAAATATTCCAGCCTTTCTTTATCTGCTGCTCAGGTTCGATGAACCATCAGTGCAGTGACCATGATGGACCACAGTGCAGGTGACTCTTTGAGATTTGTGTATAGATGTAATCTGCTCTTGTAGCAGAATTGAGAGGCATCTGTTCTAGTGATAACAGGAAATATGGTTTTGGCAAGTATCTAAAGCATTTTCAAATCATTGTCATCAGCTTGTGTTTTTCCTCAAGCCAACTTAATGTTATTGGTAGTTATTTTCTGGTTTGTATTAACAGCAGAGTCATGCACTGCTTATGGTTGAACACGGAGGTAATAATACGAAGAATATAACAAATGCTTATCATATCTAGCATGAATTTTCCCTGAGGATGTTATCATACCTTAAGAAAATACAAAATTTTGTTATTCTTTGTCAGAATAAATAAGGAGATAATATGTGATTAAATATTCAAATGAAGTATTTTCCTAACTTGTTGGTTTTCCACCATCATCTTAACTCTGAGAGCAGAGACATATGGCTTCAGAGGGACATGCATTTCTGCATCTAGCAAGACATTCAAACAAAGATGCTGGATACTTGTTTTTTTTTCCTGAAAATCCACAGATTTTAGTGTCTAAATACTTTTTAGCATCTAGGTCTCAAACACTCGTGCACTGTTATTGTGTGGATAAGTCTGATTACTTAAACTTTTGCTGCAAAGTCTCAAAACACTTGCTTAAATGCTTATGCAAACAAAGCAGGAATTTCCAGTGACCCTAAATGAACGTTTTGTTGGTACTGCCAACTTCTTCTGAGAATTTCTGATGATTGCATCAAATCTGGCACCTAGAGATGATAACAAGGGATTAGTATTTTATCTGTGTGCTGTCATCTCTCACTGTGGCATGTTCCCTTGCCACATTAATATCTGCAGGTGCATTCAGTGTTTTGAACATTAGCCTGGTTGCAGAGCAACCGTGTTCATGGTATTAAAAAAGAAAGCTTTCTGTTCCTTCCGTTAATGAGATGCTGTCCTTGTATTTCCTCATGAAACAGAATAACAAAACTTGTGAGTAAATAATACTTGAGCTAGAATAGATCTGTTTAGATTTGAATGGTGGTATGATTCTGGCCGTAATACCCAGAAGAAAAGGCTGGAATAGAATTGCTTTCTGATTGATAAGATCAAAGTGCTATCATGTATCAAGTCACCAGCCTGAGAGAAATGTTTCATCTGCAGTTTTAACTGCAGCTTTTTATTTTTCCATATTTCCTGAGGTTATCTATGACTAGACACTATTCTGTAAACAAGACCTAGTGGTGGTATTGTGTATATTTCAGTGTGAGAATTTCAAGATGACTTCCTGATAATTTGCGTTGTAGCACAGCCGATAGGCACCAAAGAGCTAGGTGCTGTATGTCCATAAGCATGAGGTGATAGTCTAACTGGATAGTATGAGTCCCACATTATAATTCCAAGTAATTTTATCAAATGAATCATAACTAGGCCTTCTCTGCATTAAAAAACTCATTGCCTTGTTTGAGAGCTCTGAATGACACAGTGCATTAGCCCAACTCAATATAGGAGAAATAAACTGAGTCCTAGTAGCTTCAGAGACTCTTAGGAGACCCAGCAGTCCGTCAGGGGAGCAGCTCACTATCCCAAGGGCTGCTCTGCTGCTGAAATAAGTTGTCAGAGTAGTTCGAAGGCTGTGCAAATTTCTGCTCTGCTTTCTGCAGACGTTTTGTGAGCTTTTGTAAGCAGAAAGTATCATGATTCTAGTCAGACCTCTAATCCTGACCTTAAGTACTCAGAGAGCAGGGCCGTGCTGGGTCTGTATAACCCTCCCACTAGGGAAGCAGGGTAGAGGCCAGATGTTTCTTGGGTTTCCTCAGCTCCTCTGGGGCCAAAGCAGATCCAGCCACTGTGGGCAAACTACCATGAGCCATAGCTGGGTATTGTGTACGTTATATGGCAAGATTCACAGCCAAAATCACGAGGCTGACCTGGGAGGAGTTGTAGCCACCTCACTGTGGAGATAGAGGAAGCTACAATCCCAGAGTTTTTTTGTTTCTATAATCTTTTCTGGAAAAGCCCTGAGAGGCAGAAGGGCAAGAGAAGGACTGTAGCAAAGTTGGTGGGAGTCACCATCACCTGCCTTTGGTGCAACCTAGCTGAGAGGAAAAATAACCCTCACTTTTCATAACAAAACCCTCCCCCGGTTTTCCCTAGGCAAAGCTGATTCTGATGGTATTTCTGGGGCTGCAGCTACCCTTGCAAATAATTCCTCATCAGCCCCTAAGCGTGGGCCACCGCATCCCATGGACTATGTCAGTTTTTCATCGTGCCCCCAAGAGGCAGCTGGAGGGAAGAGCTCTGAAATGCAAATTGGACTGACAGCTGTCTTGTCACTTGCCGGTTGCTGCAGAAGGATTAATAATGCATGGGGCACATTTGTATGTAGTGTTGCTGAGTGCTCCAAGGGAGAAACCTTTCGGTTGTTAACCCTGACTGCGTGACAGGAACATCCACAGGCTGTCACTCTAGCAGAGCATGCGGCGCTGAAGTCCTGTC